TGATCCAGCTATCCCACTACTGGGTATTTATCCAAAGAACCTGAAATCAATAATCCAAAGAGGCTTATGCACCCCTATGTTCATTGCAGCATTATTCACTATAGCCAAGAAGTGGAAGCAACCCAAGTGTCCCTCGACTGATGATTGGATAAAGCAGATGTGGTATATATATACAATGGAATACTACCCAGCCATAAAAAAAGATGAAATTGTCCCATTTGCAACAACATGGATGAACCTGAGAGTATTATGTTAAATGAAATAGGCCAGATAGAAAAAGACAAACAGTGCATGATTTCACTCATATGTGGAAGATAAACTAACACACGGACAGAGAGAACAGTTTGGTGGTTACCGGGAGAAGGAGGTGGGGGGTGGGCACAAGGGGTGAAGGGGTGCATTTATATGGTGACTGACAAACAATAGTGTACAACTAAAATTTCACAATGTTGTAAACTATTATGACATCAATAAAAAAAAATGCCAGCCCAGGCCACAACCCAGACTAATTATTTCAGAATATCTGAATATATTAAGGTATAGTTTATATACAATAAAATGCACCCATTTTAAGTGTGCAGTTCGGTGAAGTTTGACAAATTTGTATACTCATGTAACCAGCATCATTTCAAGAGATAGAACATTTCCGTCACGCTAAAGTTATCTTTGCCCCTTTGCTGTTTGCTGTCAATTCCTCCCACCCCCTTCTCCAAGCAACCACTGATCTGCCTTCTGTCTCTATAGATTAATTAGTTTTGCCTATTCTAAAATTTTATATAAATGGAATTGTAGAGCTTGTACTTTGTGTGTATGTGACTTCTTTTGCTCAGCATAATGTTTTGAGATTAATTCATTTTATTGAATGTATCAGTAGTTTATTTTTATTGTCTAGAAATATTCCACTATATAAATATACCACAATTTGCTTCTGCATTTACTTATTGGTGAACGTTCGAGTTGTTTTCAGTTGGGGCTATTCTGAATAGGGCTTCTGTAAACATTTATATGCGAGCTTTTGTGTAGACATTTTTAAATTTTTCTTGAGTAAGTACCTAGGAGTAGAATTGTTGGGTCATATGGTAAGTGTTTTTAAAGCTTGATCAGTGTTTCTAAAGCTCTCAAGGCAATGCCAGTGTGCAGCCCATGGCATGGTTGAGGACCACTGGACCAGTGGATGGGTGTGTGTAGTAGATGACAGGTGTGGCAATGTTGGGGGACAGGCCACCCTGAATTCACCCACTGTTTGCCATCATATGATCCCTGAATCTCCGTTAGTGGTTTCACCAGCTGCAGAGCCTTCTTCTGTGTCTTGATATGATGGAGGGCTGCTGCATGAGATTATGAGATGGTTTAAAACAAAGCTAATTTATTTAGCAACGTTTATTAAGCACATACCTAGTACCAAACAGAGTGTCTAATATAGAGAACACAGAAACGATCAACACAGCTCCTGCCTCCAGGGAAACTGGACAGCCAAGACCAAGTAAACTAGTGCAATAATCTCTGCCAGGTGTCATGAAAGAGTGTTCTAAGAGCCCAGCTAGAAACTGCCCCTTAATTAGAACATTGTACTGAGTAACACTACCTTCCTCGTTATTCAGCTAAGGCCTTTGGTAAAACGTCAGAATCCGCTACATTTTAGGAATTTGGTGTTGTTAGCAGCCTGCCTGTGTTCCTTTGGGCTTCTTTTTTTTAACCATGAGAGCAAAAAGATGTTCTGATTTATAATCATTCTGGTTAATTAAACATAAGTGTTAAGGTATATATGCAGAATTAAAATGCCAACAATGAAGAAATAAGAATCTGCTTTTGTGCATATGTTGGGGCAAGTTATCTAGATAGGATTTGGACAGAACCGGGGCAATTACTGGACAGAGAAGAAGATACAATTGAATGAAATTTAATCTAGGTCCTTCTTATTAGAATGACTCAAGAAATGCACTTAGTAAACTTGAGTAGAAATGGAAATAATTGGACAAGAGAGAAGCAGCAGGAGAACCAGACTCCATCAGCACTATGGATGGCTCTAGAGGGCTTTCAAGGCTCTAACCAGGACTGAATTTAACAACTTCCTTCGGTCTGTTGGCAGCCTTGCTGTCTCACTGGCCGGTTCTAGCCAGATCTACACACTGTTCATCTACTCAATCTTAAAGAGTTACACCCAGTCTGGCTCCCCAGCTCAAGAGACTTGGTCCCCCTCCTCCCAGGACCCTTCCCTTTCGACTCTGTAGAGAGTAAATGTCCTTTACAAGAGATGTGTTCTCACAAGGTGTTGGAGCACTCCTCAGCACCCTGGGTCTTGGATTCCCCTGTTGGTATCCACCTTTAAAATGTATGTATCCTTTCACTCATCAGCTCACCTTCTAGGAAACTCTCCTGCAGATATAATCACACTTGTACACAAGCATATGGGAGCAAGTATGTTCATTGATCATTATTAGTAATAGTGAAAAATAAGTCTAAAAGTTTAATAGGGAATGCTTAATTTAATTATGGTATATGTGTAGTATGAAGTATGGCTCTTAGGAACAATGAGGTAGATCTGTGTATGCTAACACGAAAATGTATCTGTGATATGTGGTGTAGAAAAACATTTTGGACCGATACGTAGAAAATGGCCCCTTCTTTTTTTTTGGTGAGGAAGACTGGCCCTGAGCTAACATCTGTTGCCAATCTTCCTCTTTTTGCTTGAGGAAGATTGTCCCTGAGCTAACATCCGTTCCAGTCTTCCTCTATTTTGTATGTGGGACGCCGCCACAGCATTGCTTGATGAGCAGTCCGCGCCTGGGATCCAAACCCGCAAACCCTGGGCCACCACAGCGGAGCGCGCGAACTTAACCACTACGCCACCGGGCCAGCCCCCCCTCTTTTTTTTTTCCAAAAACCAATATGGGTTTTTTTTGGTTTGCCTGTGCCTGGTAAAAGGTCTTGTAGGATGGATGTCAAACTGTTGAGAGTGGTTACCCCTGGGGAGTGAGATTGAAATTGAGAATAAAATTAGAATGGAGAAACTTTTACTTTTTAATTTTGGAAATGTCTGGATTGTTTGTATCTTGTAAAAAAAATAGCATGTTTTGTAAATTTTTAAAAGTGTTCATCTTCTGTTGGGTCCTACATCCCTCCGGGTTGCAGACTGGGGTCAGGTTGGGAGCTTACTTGCCTAGGCCTTTACAACAGCAAAAGCTGGCTCTGATACGAAGACTGACTTTGGTTCTAAGAAGAGCTGTCTGGTAGTAATACCATCTACCTGAAAGAATTCTTATTTACTGGAGATAAAGAAAAGAAACTGGTACATAGAGATTAGTAGATGAGGAGTAAAGTACCTTCATAACACCCACTTATTAAAATCTGCACATAGGTCTACTACTCGGATTAGTTGTTTCAGGATCTGTCTTTTCTTTAAAAGTACTTGATGTGATGGACTTCAGATATTATTCCTCTCACGTGGAATGTGTTGAAATCAAGTATTAATGTAGTGGAAGATGCTTGTCATGGGATGCCAGTCACGCTCTACTCTGGTTTCCTCAGTAGATTGTAAACTGTAGAGGACTTGTCCTGGGCAGAGTGTATCACCAGTTGTTTTTGTTCTTGAAAGGGAAAGAGAGAAAGAATAAAGAAGGAAAAGAGAGGAAGATGCTTATACAAAGGAATCCCCAGACCTTAAAGTAGCTCGTTGCTTTGTAAGCTTTCTGACCATAATAATAATTTCATTTTAATGGATAAGCTCAAAAGCTGTATTTCCACCCAAAGAATACTTGAAATGATAAAACACTTCGGATGTGACACAGCCAACCTAAATTCTTGGGGCAATTTGGTTAATATATGACTTATTGAAATATATCTTCTTCATTTGTTGTTACTGTCATCATTTTAATATTGCCCTTATTCTCTTTTCTGTATTCTCTGAAAATCAGGTTGAAGAACTACACCCTGGTTTTTCTAAGTCCAATTACGTGTTCTTGGCCAAGGTAATAAAGACCATTCTTTTTCAGATCACTTTGAATCCATTACGTAAAAATGTGATTACCTTTAATATTGATTATTTTTCATTTCTAGTGTTATATCGATCTTGAACAAATTGATGATGCTGTGAAGTTCTGTGATTTGGCAGTGTTGCTTCCTTGTGTAACCAAAGAAGTAAGTCCAAACGGTGGCAATGAGTGCCATTATTTTGTCACTACTAATCCAGCTTCAGACATGAACAACTGGCTTAGACACATCTGGAGTTTTCTTCTATCCTAAAACATTTCGACTTGGATTTAACGTGTACTATGAACTTTTTAAATTGCTATAGGTACCCATTCACCGGTAGATCCCTTGTATCTTAAAGGGACGTGCAAATCATGGGCTAGCAGGTAAAACATCCTGATGCTTGTTAGTTGTTACAAGTGGGGATGGGGTAAGCCCCACTAGGAAGGAGGGAGCACAGCATAATTCTGGGGAGCTGGTGATTAAACTACCATAGGCGGCAAACAGGCTAGACAGGCTGCCCATCCTGGAGCAAGAGCAGTGTCCTGGGGTTGCCGTCATCAGTCCCCAGCTCACAGCAGCATGCGGCTGTCCTATCCAATGCCATGAAGAAGAGGAAAAATGTGTACTGACGTTTTCTTGGTCTTTGAACACCATTAATGAAAAACTTGCATTGATTCTTGCCCTTTTTTCACTAATTCAGGATTCTAGATGTGCTCTAAGTTTTAGGAGTTTCACAGAGTTTAACAGCTCTGTCTCTGTTCCTGCGAGCCATTTACTGATATTGTGGGAATAAAAGGAAATAGATAAATGTTTTCCTGCTCCGTTCTCATACCACCAGACATTATCATCCTCTGAATCACCAACTGAAAAGAAATACCCAGAAATAAGCACTCCTCTTCTTCTCTGTTGGAGCAATACAAGCTCCAACGTTTGCTGTGATCTGGAACATAAACATGTAAGACATGCCTATTGCCCCTAGGAGCTTGTAGCCTCGAAGAGAGCATAAAATATATTTCCAAGTAACTGTAGCTCAGAGTAGAAAGCATGAAGTGCTAAGAGAGGTACAAATAATTGGCTATGGAGAGGCTGGCCCTGTGGCGTAGCGGTTAAGTGCACGTGCTCCCCTGCTGGTGGCCCGGGGTTCGGATCCCAGGCGCACACCAACACACCGCTTCTCAAGCCATGCTGTGGCGGCATCCCACATAAAGTGGAGGAAGATGGGCACGGATGTTAGCCCAGGGCCAGTCTTCCTCAGCAAAAAGAGGAGGATTGGCATGGGTGTTAGCTCAGGGCTGATCTTCCTCACAAAAAACAAAACAAAACAAAAAAACAAATAATTGGCTATGGAAATGTTGAAAAGGGAGAGATTATTTTCTCAAAGAAGAGATCAGGTAGCATCAGAGGTGGACTTTAAAGATGCATGTAATGTGGAGATGTGGGCGAAGCACGTCATGGATCATGAACAAAGGCACAGAGGTGGAAAAGCAAAGGTTTGGTTGCCTGGAGAGGAAGGAGTGTTCAGGGCAGAGATGGGAAATAAGGCTGAAAAGGGGAAGTGAAACAAGACCTTCCCAGGCACTTCAGGGTTCCGGGATGCCTGTGTCTGCACACAGGGCCAACCAGGCCCCACTGGCCTCTCAGCAACCACCTGTGCAAGGTCTTGGGCCACCTCTATGTGTCTCCCGGATGTTTGGGATTTCCTACAGTGTCGATTGTCCTTCTAACTCGGATCACTCAGTTGGTTCCGTTGGTTAAAAAGAGGCGCAAAACAGCACAGTCTCAGTAACAGCACTCCTCTAGAAGATGGTTTGTGTCATTTTTTTCAGCAGAAAACAGATTTTGTCCCTCTAGTTGCTTGCTCCATGTTGGTGATTGGGACCTACTGTCTTTTATGTGTCTGCTGAACGGTATCAGTTTGGGTTACATGCAGTCATTTTAAGCAAGGTGTCTATGCATTCTTATTAGAATATGAGATTAGAATACAATATGATAATAAGGTATAATACCTGGTTTGACATGCAAATGTTTATGCATGAAATTTAGAGCTCTCACAGAAGGGCTAAATCTGGACCATCCTCAGGGCTTGGTCATTAGTCCCTAAGTCTCTTGTCTCCTCTCCCCTTTCCTCCTCCCTACCTCCCCAAACCTATCCTCCATGGCTTCAAATGTTATCTACCTGCCAGGGGTCCTCAAATTTATATCTCTAGACTTCTCTTCTGAGCTCTAGACCTGATTCTCTTGATTATCCAGCTTCCTACTTGACATCTCCACTTTGCTATCTTGCAGGCATCTCAAACTTAACTCGTCATCAGCCCTTTGGATCTGCTTTTCCTCCATCTTCCCCTCTGAGTAAATGACACTTCCATCCACTCAATTGGGAAAGCTAGGAATCCTTGACACCTCCTTCTCCCTCAGCCCCCCAACCCAGACATCCACCCAGCCAGCAAGTTCTCAGAGTTCCTCCTCTAAAACATGCCTTGAGCCGTCCAACCTCTCTCTCTAATGCCACCACTCTGATCAGGGCGCCCCACTCCCTTTCACCTGAACTACAGTTGTGCCGGCCTCCCAAGTGGTCTCCGCACAGCCTCCTTGCCTGCACGAGGTCCTTCTTGGCTCTCTATAGCAGCCAAAGCAACAGATTAAACATAAACCTCAACGTGTCACTTCCCTGCTTTAAAACCCTTTGCTTTTAGGATGAAGTTCAGAATTTTTAGGATGCCCTTCAAGGCTCTAATCTAACTCCTACCAATCTCTCAAGCTTCATATGTTCCCCTCTCTCCCTGCCTCTGCACCATGTTCTTCCCTGCCTAGCACCCTTAGGACATACTGTTCCTTCTTCCTGAAACAGTTCCACCCAAACCCTCCACTCCCGTTGCCAGCTTTATTCCTACTCATCCTTCAAGCCTCACCATGAATGTCATTTCTTCAAGAAAGACTTCCTTGACACCCCCAGGCAGGAAAGTACCTGATACTTTTCCTTCCTATCATTCAGCACCATTGTGATTATATAGTTGTGTGTGCTTGTTCCATGAAAGTAGCAGCTCGGTGTGCTTCATTTGCCACTCCATTCCTAGTTCCTGGCATGTGGTAAACACTCAGTAAGTATTGGTAGGAAGAAAAGACTAACACCATACAAATAAAAGTAATAGCGCGAATAGTAATAATAAATAGGATTGATAATAAATGTAACTAAGAAAGCTGGACACTGTGGAAATATTTATATAACAAGCAAAAGAACATTAGCAAACATTTCCCACATCTTTTTTCCAGTGATGTTTCTATTTGTATTCCTACCACTTTTATTTCAACTAGTAAATGTACTGTCAGGAGTACCTCAATTTCCTTTTCAACTAGAAAATAGAATGAGGTGAGTTATCTGTAGTACCCCCCCATCTCTATATAAGTCTTTCCAGATTGAAATATACCCCATTAGTGATTTTGCTGACCAGTTTATTCATTTTCAAAATGTCTAGCATTGGCACTAATTACAATGAAGACAAGCCAGCCATCAGTTTTCTCTCCCTTATGTGAACTTGCATAACGTATTTGCTTCTTTCTTGTGGCACTTGTGACCTCTTCCTGGCATTGTAGTCATTTGTGAACATGTCTTCTGTCCTTCTGAGGGGGCTCTCAGCTCATCACACTGCGCTTGATATTGGGAATGTCAGCCCTTGGGCTCTGGAGCCCAGGTTCATGCATGTAAGCAGCTTTACATTCCCAGAACTTGACACTACAGTGTTTCATTATTCATGTGGACTTTTCTTGACCCTAGGAAGGTAATCTCAGGTCCTGAGAAACATGCCTTTTTTTTAAAATAAAAGGGATTCCTGTGTCTAAGGCAATGTGAGAATGATTGCTGAGTGAAATCATGACTATACCAGCAGACTTGAAAGTGGTTTGTCTGGAGGAAGTATTCAAGTTATTGACCTGGACTATGCTGAGAGAACCCAAAATATAAAAAGCATTCCATAATGTTTTGTTTTACAATGAGGGATGCACTAACTTGGTAAAGAAAAAAACTATTTTAAAATTGTTGTAATATTTTGAAGTGACATTAATCACTCTCCTAAGACAAACTCTTATAGGATAGTAAATACAATGTATCAGAAACAACTGCAGAAGAAGTGGGTTCTGGGAGTACTGAGAGGAAGAATACTTCTTCATATTTACAAGTGGGATAGTTGTCTATGAAGTTACCTGTTGTTTCAAGTCCTGGGCTGCATTTCCAAGCTGTTATGTAGATTGAGAATCATCCCTCTCATTAATAACCACTCTTAGTAACAAAATCCTAATCCTGTTTTAAATGCTCTATCTTAATTAAGACCTCATCTTTGATTATCTTAATTAAGACATTGGTTTTTCAGATAGGGTTAGAAAATATAATTAGTCAACAAATGTTCCCCCTGCCTTCCTGTTACAGGAACGTGACAACTCAGAGTGATGAGTGGGTCACTTATAGAAATCCAGCAATGTCGTCCAGGGTCTCATTTGATAGAAATTCTTATTTGCCTATTTCTTTCTGGTTTGAACTTATTTCTTATAGATTAACTTATCTGTGCTATCCATGCCTGGAGAATTTATTCTTCCTTGTACATTAAAAAAAATTAATAAGGCCGTTGCAGGATGGACAGACTTTTCCCAATGTCTGAACAGACATTTTCATGAGTGGCAGGCAGGGAGTGTTACTCTGTGTACAACCTCCTATTTCTACTCTTTGGCTCTTACCTTCTATTCATTTACACTCAAACCGTATTATTTCTTAAGCTTTCTCAATAGATAGTGGCCTTGGTTGTATTCTTTTTTTTTTTTTTTTTTTTTTTATTTTTTGTTTATTGCAGTAACATTGGTTTATAACATTGTAAAAATTTCAGGTGTACATCATTGTACTTCTATTTCTGCATGGACTACATCATGTTCACCACCAAAATACTAATTACAACCCATCACCACACACATGTACCCAATTATCCCTTTCACCCTCCTCCCTCCCCCCTTCCCCTCTGGTAACCACCAATCCAATCTCTGTCCCTATGTGTTTGTTTATTGTTGTTATTATCTACTACTTAATGAAGGAAATCATACGGTATTTGACCTTCTCCCTCTGACTTATTTCACTTTGCATTATACCCTCAATGTCCATCCATGTTGTCACAAATGGCTGGATT